AACATCAAACAAACTTTGAAACAAAATATTAACCAACAAATAACTTGTAAATAAACCCCAAAATATAAGTAAACTAACAACAAACTTTAACTAATTTCAAAATAATAAAAAATAAGAACAAATAGCTCCAACAGTTATAATTCAACGTAACAAACATATTATAAGTATTAGCTTTATGGTTTTATTCAAACCTAAACAAACACATCAATAACAATGAAATGTATGAAACTCTGGTTTAGCACAGTTGTTTCACTGGGCCTTCAAATGTTTCCTGCGTTGGGCTGCAGATTCTTAAATTCTGGAAAAAGCTTTTCCAACCGCTGTGATTTGTTTCCTCTCTGAAGATCTGGACGAGTGCGCGACCAAGCAGCACAACTGCCAGTTCCTCTGTGTGAACACGATTGGGGGCTTCACCTGTAAGTGCCCCTCTGGCTTCTCTCAGCACCAGACCGCCTGCATCGGTGAGTGCAAAAGGAAACCAGATCCACCTGAAACTGGTTAAATATGACACGCGCGTGTTTTTACACAAAGAAACAATGTTTCAATGTTTCTTAAATGTTGGCAGACAACAACGAGTGCACCGCTCAGAGCAGCGTGTGCGGTTCCCGGGCCTCTTGCATCAACACGCCCGGTAGCTTCAACTGTGAATGCTCCAAAGGTTTCTCCTTGGACACAACGGGCTTCGAGTGTGAAGGTAAGCTGTCCTTTACAGCTAGAGATCAACGAGTGTTTCTGCTGATCAGGCTGCAGAGCGCGATCCAGAGTTGTTCTTCCACTGATTCGTGTCACTAAGTGAGAAGTTTTCATGTTTTCAGATGTGGATGAATGTAGCAGCAACCACCGCTGTCAGCACGGCTGCCAGAACATGCTGGGAGGCTACCGCTGCGGCTGTCCTCAGGGCTACGTCCAGCACTACCAGTGGAACCAGTGTGTGGGTGAGTAGCCAGAGTCTGTCAGCAGCACAGAGACCAGAATAGAGGAGCGAGTGATTTCAGTTTTTAATGAAACTATAGATTCATATTTATAATAATAAGACAAGCTGGAGCAGAAAATGAGATAATACAGAAATATCTGGATGTTTGAGACTCTGTGTGCTATAAAGTATCTTTATTTATTGTGTAATAAGTGTTGTCATCATCAAAATATTCAATTCAGCTTTATTGACACAGCACCAAATCACAACAGTCGCCTCAAGGTGCTTCATACTGTAAGGTCGACAATAACACAGACACCCAACAATCATGTGACCCCCATGAACCAGCACGTGGGGACAGTGGGAAGGAAAAACTCCCTTTTAACAGGAAGAAACCTCCGACTGACCCAGGCTCAGGGAGGGGCGGGGCCATCTGACACTGTACCTGCATCATTATTCAAAGATGTCTTCCAGTCTATTGGCCCATGTGTGCTCACTTTAATCCTTCGCTGGCGTCTGGTATAGTTCAGGTTTATTTTAAAAACGCTGCTATTCTCCCACTTTTAAACAACCTCAGCTTGACCGTCTCTTTGGAGCAGCTACAGACCGATCTCCAAGTTACCGTTAATCGCTAAGCTCCTGGAAAAGGTTGTGGCTCAGCAGCTTATGGCAGCTCCTGATAAACATGGCATTCACGATAAGTTTCAGTCCGGTTTTCGTAGATTTCCCTCCACAGAAACTGCTCTTCTCAGGGTCTCTAGTGATATCTTGATGAATGATGATGCAGGAAAATGCTCATGTTGGACCTCACATCAGCTTTGACACAGTGGACCATCACATCTTCATTGAAAGGCTGAAACATTGTGTTGGTGTATCTGGAGCTGCATTAGAGTGGTTCTCCTCTTATCTCCATCACCGATCCTTCAGTCTCCGATTTTAGGTCATCTTCTACCTCCCTTACTTATGGTGTCCCTCAAGGGTCAGTTTTGAGGCCTTTATTGTTTTAATATATCTTCTCCCCCTCCAGCATATAACAGGCTCTTCTGAGGACATTTCTTATCACTGTTATGCTGATGATATTCAGTTGTACGTTTCTTTTATGCCCGAGGATTTATCTAAGCTTCAGCGTCTGAATGATTGCTTAGATTCGATCAAACGTTGGCTGCAAATTTCCTCCAATTCAACGAGGGGAAAACTGAAGTCCTCGTATGCGCCGCTGATAGGTTTCTGTCGCAGATAGTGAAAGCCCTCGGTCCTCTCTCACCCTGTTAAATCCTCTATCGGGGATTTAGGCGTCACCTTTGACCCGACTCTCACATTCAATGTGAAATCTCTGGTTCGGTTTTTATCATTTCAGAAATGTGGCTAAGCTAAGCCCG